GGAAATATGAGATTATGAGTCATATTTTGTCTCTTGATATATTTCGTATAAAGATAAATGTTTGGGCAACCGTGGAGGGTTGTATTGATTATTGTAAAAATTGCATGTGAAATGGATAAATTGAAATATTTGTAAATTCATGCATGGCATTGAACATTGTATAATCTCATGATTTAATTCTTGCATTGGATTTGAGAAGTTGATTTTCAAATTGATTCATTGAGAATATTTGAAATGTGTTGAGTTACGGGATAAATACGTTTGGTAAATCCAAATAGGGGGTGTAGATTGGTATTGTTTAAGTTGGCCTGAGTGTCCAGGGTGAAAGACCGAAAACAAGCGTGGAGTAGGTGCCACGTGCCTTCCGGTTAGGAGGCGGTAAAGTGGAGATTGGTAGTGCTAGTTATGCCTACTTGCAGACACCAACCTAGGGATTTCCAGTGTCATATTTACCGCCCCTTGTTCCATGAAATGGGTGATTGAATTGGTTATGCTTTTAAACAAATGCATGGCATGAGAATTTCGAAATGAGAAAACCTATGACTTTTGGCATTGGCATCTCATATGCATTGCACCTCATGATATTGTTAAACTGCATGCACTTTATTTAGATTATCTCTGCTGGGCTTTATGCTCATCCCTTAGTGGAAACCATTTTTCAGGTGATTGTGGTGTGCCTCCACCAAAGTGAAGGCGTGGAGGATCTTTTGGAGCACAAGGGTTAATTATTTATTTGTTTTGTTTTCTTTGCAAGCCAAGGACTATTTATGTATGGGTTTGAAAATCACTTTGTTGTAACTAGGCAAAGCCTTGGAACTTGTAGCCATTAAGGCATTAATTTGTATTTTGTTGCTTTAACTTGTTATTATCACATGCTATAAAATTCATATGTTAAGGATGATGAATGCATTAATGCAAGTGGTCTCTCTTTTGTGAAATCTCATGTTGGATATCATTAATAGAAAAATGGTGATTTAGTATGAATGTTATATTATTCAATGTTCTTGTATGTAATAATGAGAAGTAATGAGATTTAGATTATGCCTATGAGTTAATCTAGATATATCAGATGTCAATATTTTTTGGGGCGTTACAAGATTCGTGATTATCGTGTTGCGACGTTCATATTCTACAAATAACCGATTTGTTCGATATGTTTCGGCGGAAAGCATAGTAATAATATACATATAATGCAGACTTGATGAACATGAGTTTCGTATTTAATTTACATTTTTTTCTGTTTCCATGTAGGAATGGGGGATAGTGTAATGTTGCTGTGTTCATATGGGAATAACAACGTTGCCGTAATGGTTTGTTCTGATTCCACGTTTAGCAGATTGACCACTCATATGTGCGAATGTTTTAGTGGACTCACTTCTTATTCGGTATCCCTATCACACAAGATTCCCGTGTACAATAATTTCAAAATGGAAAATGATTCGAACTTTGAAAACATGTTATGTCTTGCCAGGTCATTTCGACTGGGTCATGTCGATGTCATTGTGGAAGTTCATGGCGAAGCTCGGGGGGTCAAACGTGGTGGGAGTTTGATACCTGGACACGACGACACAGTCGTTGACAGCAGGGAAATGGCACCATATATTGATAAGGAGGTTGATTTGTTACCTAATTTTTGCCAAAACACCGGAAAGATGTTGTTGTCGGCAGATTGAGCGGATAGCATAACTAATATCGGGCAATGTTTCGAGGGTGGAGCAGTGAAATTTTGTAACGTACTCAGCAAATACACCATCGAATATGGGTTTCAATTTCGATTTAGAAAGAATGACTCAATTCAAATTACAACATAATACATGTTTAGCGAGTCAAGGGGGTTTGTGGTCCATCCATGCGAGGGTGCTGAATGCGAATGGGTATTTTTATCTCAAAAGTGGAACTATGACCACACTTGTGGAGTCACTGTGCATACTGAAGAAGTGCCACAAATTCGATGTGGGCATTGTCAGCGGTTGGGAAACCATAACAAGAAGACATGCAAGAAACCAATATAGTGTCATACCCTACGTGGTGGAACGTTTAGTTTGAATCATTTGTACAGGTTCTAATGTTTTTATTTAGTTTAGTTGTATGAAATAAGATATGCTAGTTCGATTTCACATTGTCGTTCATAATAAAGTTGGTTAGTTCGTTTTAGATTTGGTGTTATGTTTGAATTTTGTAACATGCTTTTAGTGTTATGTTTTAAATTTTGCAACGTGGGTTGAAGGAACAAATGTTTGGCGAATTTGGTATTATGTTTAAATTTTGTGGCATGCCTTGAAGGAGAATTTATTGAACCCATCCAACGTATAATTCATCGACTCGAGCACATAAATGCGCACCACCATTGTTTTTTTTTTTTTTTTTTCCACATTGTAACAACACCCAAGTGCGTAACCAGTTTCCACAAGCATTTGGGCACACATTGTTTGTAAATTTCCGAGCACAAACGCCACATCAACTATTCATTCATATTTCCGCCAAAAAAACACAAACAAAGGTGATTGTAGTAAACAAAAAACAGCGCAATAACTACAACACAAACTTTGCAATCCATCAACCCCCAAAAAATGATTTCAAGTTTCGATTTGTCAAACATAAATCCTAGATGCAATGTGCCAGGCACCCAAATATGACCGTCCGTGACATTACCATGCCAAAAAAATGTATCGTCAAAGTCACTTCAAATAAGCTAATAAGAAAATCCTAGCGAAAACTAAAGAAACCACAAAATAATAATAATAATAATAATAATAATAAACTTGAACAAAAGACATAATGCTCTAACGTCAGCCACGTTCAAGGCATGTCACAAAATTTAAACATAACACTACATCAAGTAATTATTCATATGTCCATCCAAAAAACACAAACAAAGGTGATTGTAGTAATCAAAAACCCATACCATAATTATAATGCAAACTTTGTAATCCATCAACACACAAAAAATGAATTCAAGTTTCGATGTTTCAAACATAAATTCCAAACACATTGCACCGGGCTCCCAAAAATGAACATATGCGACAATACCATGCCACAAAAACGTATTGTCAAAGTTACTTTAAATAAGCTACTAAACAAATCCTAGTGAAAACTAAATTAACCACAAAAAATAAAAATAAAAAACGTGAACCAAACACATAATGTTCCAATATCAGCCACATTCTTCACTTGCCAAGTCTTTCAGTCCCCTGATAGGGTCATCGACAAATGCTTCCACCATCATCGCCCGCGCTCTAATGTAGGTCGTACCTTACATTGTCTTCTTGATCCCGATGTGGTGAACATATTAACGCATTATATAACAGACGATGATTGCGTAATCAAGCCTGCCGTGGAGAACCATAACACATACACAAAATAACATTTCCACCACAATCAATGACAATGTCAACAAATAATTACTAAATTAAATTTACGAACGACACGTACGAATTTGGTCGCTGTTGCGGAGAGTCAGTTATTACTGCTAGCACATCGTCCCAATCTGGCGTGGAAACCACGTCACCATTCGCACCTAACAGGCAAGTTTACTTGACGATGTTTACCACATATTCTTTCTGTTATAATAAAAACCAAATGGTTGTCAAGTACCATACCACGCACTTACCATTCCACATACAACCACCGTGGGCGAACACAAGCCAGGTATACATCTTACAAACTTACAAACTTACGTGCTGTAAAAAAAACTTACCACCTTATAACAATTGTTGCAACCTCGATAGGGCCGGCCCTGAGGTGAGGAGACTAAGGCGGTCGCCTCAAGTCCCCAATTTTGAACAAAATTTAGGGCTCCCAACTAGGGAAGTGTATCAGGTCGTGTTATTTCATAATTACTTTAATATTAACTCAATTTATTTATTTTCATGATGTCGTATAGTGTTATTTTGATTCATGTCTATTTGATGTTTAATGCGAAAACTTTCACTTGTAGTTAAAAATAACTTAACCAGTGTATGGAGAGATTAAAATTTTTCCCATAAGTTGAATTTTATAAATTTATTTCTACTAAATGAAATTGTTCATGGAACGTTTGATTTTAATTCAATTGCATTTTTCTAATTAAAAAAAATTGTACTTTATTACCATATATTTTTTACTAGATTGACTCTAAAATAGGTAACGAATAAATACATATCTTAAATGAAAAAAAGATATTAGCCTTAATTATTATTTTACATACTTTTTTATTCAGTTAGATGGAGTTAAATAACAGATTAAAAAATGTCATGGCATCCCTTAGTGAACATTAAAATATATAATTAACAATTCATGTTATTGAGTCGTGTCATACTTTGATTCGTGTTAAAAAATAATCAACCCTAACTTGCTAATTTTATCTATTACTTGAGTTGTGTTGTAAATTCTCATCCTTACCCCCACTACAAGAAATGTCACTTTTGGCTACCAAAATATTGGTCGCCAAAAGTCCAATATTTAGTCGCTGAAACGATTTAGCGACTAAAATATTTGGTCGCCAAGCTCGTCGCCTTTACCCTGTCAGCGATAGTATTGGCGACTAAATTTCGTTTGGTCGTCGAAAGTGACCACGTTTGGCTACTAATATTAGTTTAGTCGGCAAATGTTATGTTTCCGCCACTAAAACCTTTAGTCGCCAAATGAGGCTTTTCGGCTACTAAGTTGTTGTGATCAGGGAAGGTGTCACCTTCAGCTACTAAATAATTAGTAGTCGAAAGTACACATTTGGCTACTAAACTGTATTTAGTCGGCAAAAGGTGCATTCGGTGACTAAAGTGTTAGTCACTAAAAGTGCATTGGGTTATGTTTTTGCTACTAAATTCTTAGTCACCAAAACATTTGATTACGTATTTAGCTACCAAAATATTTGGTGGCCAAATACTTTAACGTGTTTTTTTTTTTTTTTTTTTTTCTTCTAAACAACCTGTATCCATTATTAATACAACCTGTACCCTGTATAAACAATATAATCCATCAACACTAAATTATGTTATCAAGCATTCAACAATGTGCACACATTTTAGTTCCAACCATCCAAAAAATTAATATTGAACGTCCAATTATATATATATTACAAATTCCATAAGAACCAAGTCTAATCCAACGTCAATAATTTAATTTCATACATAATACAGGAATAACCAACTACTCCCACTACACATTTTAGTTCCAACCATCCGAGGTGTCATGCTCTGCAACTGAAGCAGTTATATCCTTATCAAATGCAGTAGCAACAAAAGGCTCTGGTAACTCATCTATGGTGCTCCTTGTATTTGGGGAACCAACATCAGACTCAGAACCAGGCATACCCAGATGACCATTTTCAGTTTCTATTTCTGATATTGTATCCAATGAGCTCTAATTGGGAACCTCTACAACATTCACCCTATCAACAACAGACTTTGGCAATGTATCTTCCTCTAATGTAGAGCGCTCTTCTCGATCTGAGATACTCCTTGCATTTTGGAAGTCTTCACCGTTCCCAAAAGAAGCAGAAACTTCCACATTTGAAAAAGAAGCAACTGAACTGTCTCCTGAATAGACATTTAAAGTATTGGTCAACAATTCTAATGTAGGGTCAACCATTGTTCCATCATAATTGTTGCATACAACTTCAGTGCATGTATCATCTATTCCTGCACTTTCTGAATCCCACAGTTGTTCTTCAGGAGCCACATTTGTTACACCTCCAACCTCATTTACAACTTCAGTGCATGTATCATCTATTCCTGCCCTGTCCAAGGGAACTTCTCATGCTTTGTGCCTCATCTCTCACATAGGACAGATCATCATAAGAAATACTAGAGGCAGTGAAAGTCACATATTTGTAGCTTAAGTTATTCAAAAGTAATTTTATTATGTGTGTGAACTAAACTACAGTTGCATAAAACAAGAAGAACTAATGATTGCATTGATGCTTTATGCATGTCCATGCCTTTACATGGCACTGTCAAAGTAACTAGTAAAGGTTTGAATAACCTCCCTTGCTCAACCCAGAATGCAACCAGAGAAAGAGAAGTCTGACATGATTTTTAATTAATTTGCAACCTACCTGATGGAAATTTATGGTGCAGGTTACATTTGTTTGTGGAAGCAGACGCAAGTACTGCACTTCACCCAACTCCAAATGTGTTAGAATGGTCAGCATCACCTGCCACAGTCAAAAACTAGCAGTTCAAGTCTTACGATGCATGTAGATATGACAAAGTGAACTCAAATGGAAAATGCTTTATCATCATTCTAGTATTTCTACCAAGAGGAAGACACCAGGATACAAATCTAAAAGTAATAAGCAGTTACTGATGAAAATGAACGAAGCTTCACAATATTTTCTATGTCCTTAAAATTATCAAAAACCTCATGGAAGGTCAATGTAATTTACCCCTTTTTTTCTTCAAAAAATAAAGAATTATCAGGAAATTTGAATTTGCATTAAGTATTAGAAGTAGAATGCAGAAAGAACCTCTTCTTTCATATCAAATTTACGCGATGCAAGCTCTTTGACTAAAGAGCAAATTTTCCCATGTGAATCCAATTCATTAGTAAAAACTTCAGAGAGGAATCTGCTGACTGCATATTCATCTACACCATCACTGTGAAGCACAATATTTTTGGTTAATTTCAGATCTTGAAAACCATCAATCAAAGCTAAACAGAATATGAAATGCATTGAATCACCTGTATGTTAGACTACGAAGCTTAAAATATGTGCTATCATCAAAAAAGAGATGGCAATAAGATAATCTACCATCGAGTCCAGCACGTCCAATCTCCTACAGAAAAGCATGATTTGTTTTGTTCAGAAAAATTTTACATGAACATTATCTTCCAAAGAACCAATGGTTAAGAAACAAATACCAACCTAAACATACTCTTCCAAGCTTTCTGGTAAAGTGTAATGGATAACCTGAGATAGAAGCATTTAGAAAGCTTCAGTACAATTTCTACAATGCAGTGCCATGCTAGATGTGTGTATATGTGACAACAAGATATCTCATAACAAATAATGTTGCTTAGTGCTGCTTTTACATGAAAGCATTATAAAAATTCATACCAAGATATCAACATGATTCATGTGATATGATTACCCTGCTGTTGGTAAAGAAACCTGACTGTCCAACTTTTTAATAACTACAACTTTTGAGCATCAATTAATTATGTTGGGGGGGAGACGGGGGTGCAGAAAAATAAAATAAAATAATCTTGTCAAGCCCCATGCCAAATGCCATAGTTGCAACAACCTTCCAGAAAATAATTCAAGTACATGAATTAGCCATATATCATGACATCTTACTACATAATTAGAAATGAAAATAAGTTTCAAAGCCAAAGTGAACCAGAACAATTTCTTACCACTCTTATCTTGTTGGAACAAAATGATTCCTGAATACAACTTCGATCCTTTGAGGGTATACCACTGTGGTAACTCTTTATTTATTATTATTATTATTTTTTTTTTTTGACAAGTTCAAATAAGTTACAGTAAAGAATATATTAGTTTCATATGTAAGAAACCATGTATGATTCAACTGAATCAAGAAAGTATATGAGAGGATAACCATTGCTTGAATATTGTTGTCGCTTAAGTATTTGCTTATCAAATCAGTTTCATACTGCAAAACAAATAATTTAATCAAAAGCCAGGCAGTCAAAATTGCAATGTAAATAAGTATAAAATTTCATCCAATTGAATTCTATATTGTCAAAAAAAATCATTTTAAGCAAAGGATTTAACTATCTAAGGCCATGGTATACACTATATGGAAAGAACAACTCATGGGGTTAGCTGAAATTTGCAGTATATAATAATGCTTTGAACTTCCGCAAAGGGGGAAGACTTGATTAACATCATCAGATCCTTCATTCTGTCTGGTAAAGATAGTTAAACATGAGATGAGAAGCAACAACCATTCAGTATAGAGAGTCAAGACTCCTACTTGCCAAACTTCAATGCCTACATATTTTATTGGCTTCAACACATAAATGATTTGGGATACTTTAATAGTAATGAGACACTGCATTAGCTTGGGAATTCAGATCATCAAAACAAACATACCCAGAATAATTTTGTTTTTTTAAATCAAGAAAATTAACAGACGGGTGCCTGAGAATTCAGAAGCCGATCCACCAATCCCGTAATCTAACATGAAAACACAAGAAAAGGGAAAGGTTGAAGAAAGTGCAAGATCATAGACCCAAATTGCAACCTTTTCCAAATAGTTTCCCTATTTTTTTTATTAAAAACAATTGGCAATAAAACAATTATGAGAGAGAGAGAGAGAGAGAGAGAGAGAGAGAGAGGGGACTCACAACATTTTGTACGGATTTAACAACACTCAGAGAAGTCGAAGATTCAAAGCTTTCACCTGTAGCCTTAACAACAATGGCAACACACTCTGTCTCTCTACAATGAAAATTATTAGAAACCCATTAATAAAGAAGAAACTAAACCTAACCGTGGAATACTGCAAGCCTACAATGAATCAGATTGAGTGACGTAAAGTCCGTCACTGTAACATTTCATTCATGGGAAATGATCTGGTAAATCTTGCTGCTGGAAGCTTTAGGGCAGCCCTTCAACAAAATTGATGGAACCCATTAATGGAAAGCTAGAATTAGAGCAAAAAGTGAATGACCCAATAGAGTATTATGCATTAGAAATCATACCTTGTTACCTATTTGAAGAACCCATGTGTGTGCGTGTATGTGAAGCTGTATGGGTTTTTGTGGGACAAAAAAACAGAGCCGAGAGGGAGAGAGAGGATCTCAGGCGACGGTGACCAACAAGGAGGTGAATCGGTGCTCCAGTTGTCGGCCAACGCGAGGAGGAGCGCCGGTGAGAGTGGAGGGGAGAGGAGCGGCGGTGAGGGAGAGGGAGAGGGACGCTGAAAAGAGAGAGAGAGAGAGAGAGAGGCGCTATTAATGGTTCAGGGTTGGGTTTGGTTTGGTGAGACCGTGAGATGTGTTATATAAATGGTTATTGGCGACTATCGATATTGGTCGCTAAAGGTATTTTACAAATCCCTCTAAATATTTGAAAGGTCTCCCTCCAAAACATTTTACTTCTTTGGCGACTAAAATTAAATTTTGTCGCTAAAAACAATCTTTTGGCTACCAAAATTTTGGTCGCCAAAGACAAAAATTAATTTTTTATTTTACATTTGCCGACTAAAGGTTTTAGTAGCCAAATCTATACCTACGGCGACTAAAAGTATTTTTGGTCGCTGAAAATCAACTTTTGGCGACTAAATTTTTAGTCGCCAAAGTCAAAAATTAATTTTTTATTTTACATTTGCCGACTAAAGGTTTTAGTAGCCAAATTTATACCTACGGCGACTAAAAGTATTTTTTGTCGCCAATTTCTGGCATTTTTGCCGACTAAATTTATTTTAGTCGCCAATTGTGATATTTTTAGCTACTAAAATTAATTTTAGTCGCCAATTGTAATATTTTTAGCTACTAAATTTTTTTTAGTCGCCAATAACCAACATTACCCTACGAAAAAAAATTAGTAGCTAAAAAGTTGACTTTTGCCGACTAAAATTAATTTTGGTAGCCAATTCCCACACTTTTGGCGACTAAATTTGTTTTGGTAGCCAAAAATGATCGCCAAAAATGTGTTTTCTTGTAGTGCCCCAATTAATTTTAGTTATTATAGCATTGGTAAGTTAAAAAATAAAGATTTGATTCAACTAATTGACGTTCAACTATTTTATATATATATATATATGTTATCTAAATTTTGTTAAATTGTAATGCAATAAAAATAAATTTTTATCCTTTTTGTTTTATCCAAATATATATATATATATATATATATATTTAGGTAATGATACATGAAGGGCCTAATTTAAAAAAATTTCCTTACGCCCCTCATAACTCAGGGCCGACCTTGAACCTCGACCACCAAACCCAAATATCAGTGAATATCCAAACGTATTAACCTCACCAAGAATAACAAAACTTCCCACAGCAATTTGGGGTTATGTTTCCCGTTTCAGATTTGATGGGATTTGGGGGATTTATGATGTACATCACTCATGCGCAAATGGTTCAATTTCATACTACAACTCAAAATGTGGGATCTAATTGTGCCAAACACACGATACACAATGATTACAAAATGCACCGTTGATTTTGAAAACTAGAATCTGACATATCTGCACCTACAATAACAGCGTAACAACAGCGATAGAATTCCGTTCAAAAACCCTTGATTGGTCGTCCAAAATGCCCAACAAGTATTTCGTCCAAATGTAAGTCACACCAACGGAAGTGTATTCCGGTAGGAAACCTTAGTCGCCAAACTCACCACATTATCGTAGCCATCCGAAATCCTCAGTTTCAGAGGGGTTCACCCTTCAGTTTTAGAGGTTCACACTTCAGATTCGAGGGCTCACACTTCTCGAAATGATCAAAATGTGAGGCTTCAAAAGATGGGTTTGCAAAACGATATGGGTCATCAAAACGTGGGTTAGCAAAATGATGTGGGTTAACAAAATGTGGGTTATCCAACATAAACTACTAAACCCACAAAATTCTATAGCACACATTTTTCAAACATTACATAAACGTAAATCATGGAAACAAAATATCACAAAACAAATACAATACATAAATAGGCAAAAATGTAAATCCCCAAATAATGGGACCTTCGTGTGTACAAAATTAAATATGAGACTGATTAGACTATAATTTCACATTTTGGAATTTATGGGTCAATTTCTCTTTTTTTCAATAGCCAAAAGAGAAAATCACTTTTTCAATTCACTTCTCTAATAATGCTACTTATTCTTTTTCTATTACATAAAAATATTGTTTCTGTATATTTTTTAAAGACAACCTTACTATTAAGTCACTAAATGGTAAACTATTCACAAGTGAGTCAGTCAATTAAATGTGAAAACCAAAGTCCTAATTCTTGCAATTAAGATTTTATTTGCATATTGGTTAAAAATATGATAAAACCAAATATACCACGTGAATCACAACGCGGCATAGAACGCGTTACCACTTTAACCCGAGTTAATCGACACTCGGGGCCCACCTAAAAATAGACCTAACTTAGGAAAAAATTAACCATTTCCAACAACTACTACCGTTGGCCTCTCCTTCATTGGCGACTAGTGATCCTTCTATTTCCTTTCTAGAAATTTTTAAAGATGGGATCAGCTCAAAAACTTAAGTTTCATAAATTTTATTAATTAGGAAAAAAAAGTTAAACTAATTAAATTTTGAACTTCTCTAATTTTAAATAAAACAATTTTTTAATAAAATGCTATTGTCTTAACAAAATAAAATAAAAAACTAAAATTATAAAAAAAAATTTAAAAAAAAATGAGCAACAAAATGTCATTTTTTAAAATCGTTACATGAAAACATCTTTGTTAATAGTGTCAAACACATCCTTTTTTATATATGTTATCAAGCAATCTTTCAACCATTGAACCATTGGTCCTTATTCTAGTGGGTGAATTGTTATTTTTAAATTGTTGGGGTCAATTGGTTATTAACTAAAATTTTTGCCATAATTTTTTTTTTTTTATTCCCTAAAGCTTTTGGCAAGTTGATGGAGATGGGACCCCATCAATTTGGAAGGTAGCATCGCCCCTCCTTCCTCTCCTTTTTCCGCTAATACTTCTTCCTCTCCTTCTACCAGCCCTGAGGTGAAGCGATTAAAGCGGTCGTCTTAGGCCTCCAATTTTGAACAAAATATAGAGCTCCCAACTAGGGAAGTATATTATGTCGTGTCATTTCATAATTACTTTAATATTAACTCAATTTATTTATTTTCATGATGTCGTATGGTGTTATTTTGATTTATTTCCGATTGAAGTTTAATGTGAAAACTTTCACTTGTAGTTAAAAATAACTTAACCAGTGTATGGAGAGATAACAATTTTTCCCATAAGTTGAATTTTATAAATTTATTTCTACTAAATGAAATTATTCATAGAATGTTTGATTTTAATTCAATTACATTTTTCTAGTTAAAAAAATTGTGCCTTATTACCATATATTTTTTACTAGATTGACTCTAAAATAGGTAACGAATAAATACATATCTTAAATGAAAAAAAGATATTAACCTTAATTGTTATTTTACATACTTTTTTATTCAGTTAGATGGAGTTAAATAAAAGATTAAAAAAGTGTCTTGGCATCCCTTAGTGAACATTAAAATATATAACTCATAATTCATATTATTGAGTCGTATCATGCTTAGATTCATGTTAAAAAATAATCAACCCTAACTTGCTAATTTTATCTATTGCTTGAGTTGTGTCGAAAACTCTCATCCTTACCCCCAATTAATTTTAGTTATTATAGTATTGGTAAACTAAAAAATAAAGATTTGATTCAACTAATTGAAGTTCAACTATTATATATATATATATATATGTTATCTAAATTTTGTTAAATTGTAATGCAATAAAAATAAATTTTTATCCTTTTTGTTTTATTTAGGTAATGATACATGAAGGGTCCAATTTAAAAAATTCGCCTTAGGCTCCTAATAACTCAGGGCCGGCCTTAAACCTTGACCGCCAAACCCAAATATCAATGACTATCCAAACGTATTAACCTCACCAAGAATAACAAAACTTCCCACAGCAATTTGGGCTTATGTTTCCCGTTTCAGATTTGATGGGATTTGGGGGATTTATGATGTACATCACTCACGCGCAAATGGTTCAATTTCATACTACAACTCAAAATGTGGGATCTAATTGTGCCAAACACACGATACACAATGATTACAAAATGCACCGTTGATTTTGAAAACTAGAATCTGACATATCTGCACCTACAATAACAGCGTAACAACAGCGATAGAATTCCGTTCAAAAACCCTTGATTGGTCGTCCAAAATGCCCAACAAGTATTTCGTTCAAATGTAAGTCACACCAACGGAAGTGTATTCCAGTAGGAAACCTTAGTCGTCAAACTCACCACATTATCGTAGCCATCCGAAATCCTCAGTTTCGGAGGGGTTCACCTTTCAGTTTTAGGGGTTCACACTTCAGATTCGAGGGCTCACACTTCTCGAAATGATCAAAATGTGAGGCTTCAAAAGATGGGTTTGCAAAACGATATGAGTCATCAAAACGTGGGTTAGCAAAATGATGTGGGTTAACAAAATGTGGATCATCCAACATAGACTACTAAACCCACAAAACTCTATAGCACGCTTTTTTCAAACATTACATACACGTAAATCATGGAAACAAAATATCACAAAACAAATACAATGCATAAATAGGCAAAAATGTAAATCCCCAAATAATGGGACCTTCGTGTATACAAAATTAAATATGAGACTGATTAGATTATAATTTCACATATTTTGGGATTTATTAGTCAATTTTCCTTTTTTTTAATAGCCAAAAAAGAAAATCACTTTTTCAATTAACTTCTGTAATAATGCTACTTATTCTTTTTCTATTACATAAAAATATTGTTTCTATATATTTTTTAAAGACACCATTACTATTAACTCACTAAATGGTAAACTATTCACAAGTGAGTTAGTCAAATGTGAAAACCAAAGTCCTAATTCTTGCAATTAAGATTTTATTTGCTTATTGGTTAAAAATATGATCGAAAATGGCATTTTGTTCATAGTTTCCCTTCCCACTACTTCCGTTGCCCTCTCCTTCATTGGCGACTGGTGTTCGTTCTATTTACTTTCAATGGTGACTCTAGAAATTTGTAAAGATGGGATCAGCTCAAAAACTTACGTTTCATAAATTTTATTTGAAAAAAAAGTTAAACTAATTAAATTTTGAACTTCTCTAATTTTAAATAAAACAATTTTTTAATAAAATGCTATTTTCTTAACAAAATAAAATAAAAAACTAAAAATATAAATTAAAAAAAAATGAGCTTCTACAATTGCATTCAACAAAATGTCATTTTTTTAAATTGTT